AACAGTGTCAGTATTCACAGTACATAGCATTAATACAGAGTAAAAGTATAAGGAAAAATGAAAATATACTAATTTAACCTAAAACTCCAAATACTGAGGCAAAATGTACAGGATAAACATAACAAAAAAATAATATTATATTTCAAAAATATTATACTCTTAAAATATTTGCATTTAAGATTGTTTGTGTAATTTTATCTTTTGGAATAACAACACTTCAATGGTGTATTTAAAATAAATTCATTTTAGTTTTTGATCTATTTTATTTTCGTGATCTATTTTTTATACAAACCATTAATTTGCCGGTTAATTTATAAAACATCATGAATAACTAAAAACACTTTTATTTATCTGTACCGCGGTAACACTAATTTTGAAATAATGTACAGCTATTACTACGAATTCTAGAAAAATACCGGTATGGATCATAAACATAAACAAATGACGTTTTTGTCCCGAAAATAAAAATGATTTACCATTGAAATGGAATGGTCAAAACATAATAACATAACATAATTGGTTCAATGCTATTAGTATAGGATTCGGGCCAACAACGTCATTTGTTTATGTTTATGATCCATACCGGCACTTTTCTAGTATTCGTGGCTATTACCATGGTTAGAATATTTCCCTGACTATAAATACAATGCATGATCACTAATTATTCCTGATATTGATGTCAATAACAAACTTTAAGTTGAACTATGAAATATGCTGACGAAATCAGATCGGCAACGATGACAATGATGATCAGAAACACACACTCTATTTATTACTTTTAACCTGGTAGTAATATTTTTGAAATATAACATTCTATTATTTACTAATTTGTCAATTTCCTATCATATACGTATTGATTCAGTATTGGAGCTATGGAAGTGTTATTTAGTTTTAAAACAGAAAGGTGTATTATTATTTTCGTTCAACTTCATAATTAGATAACCTTAAAAAAGGGTTCAGAGTAAATAAAATAAAAAAAATCTATCGTTTTTACTTACCTAAATTTGTATTTAAAATATATTATTTAAAATGAAATAATATGATGATGTATTTGATTTTTTATGTATTGTTTAATTTAAAAAGCGAAATATGTAACGATACATAACATGATAGATAAACCGTATAATATCATACTATTTAATAACATATAAATCCGTTTTAATGTGAATATTCAAATAACCCACCACATTTAAGTTTATGCCATTTAAAAATTACAATTATGATGCTATAAAACTGTTTGTAGGGCGTACACAATTTTGAAAATATGATACAAATCTAATTGAATGTTTAGTCTCTGTTTTATGTAAGATATTTTATAGTTGATAGTTTTTATCCATATACAAAACAGGGTTGTGTACTAATTTATACATAAATGAAATTTAACTAAAAATAGAACTTAATAAAAGTTGTATTTTACATAAAAGATTGTTGAATTTTGTAATTGTTTGCTCATAGAAACTTCCCAATTTATAAAGATGTTTAATACATATTTTCACATAATTTATCGTGTTAAAACATTAAGATTCAATATTTACTACCGTATAAAATAAGTAGGTATAGCATAAAACCTTAAATTTTATTTTAATTTATTAGGTTTACCTATTTTTCTAGTTATTTATTATATTATAAGGAAGGTAAAATGTATAGCTAATCTGCCAACAGTATTTATAGATTATATAATAAACATACGTAATTTACGTACCGCATATTTTACAAGTAAACTTTTTACTTTGCAATTTTCATTTAAGTTACTATGTTTACAATATTATCATTACATCAATTAAATCATATCTATATATTAATAACACAAAAATGAATTTGAAATTAAAAATATATAACATGGCTCATATGCGTTGCCATGCTGGTGACGAAATAACAAAAATATATAAACAGAAAATCAAAACGAATGGAAGAAGTTACAATCACGTGTTTTATTTACAGAGTGGGGTGAAAATAAAGAAGCCTGTATGTTATAAAGTTTTGGTCGAGTTTTCGACCACTGGACGACCACTAGTATTCTACAAATAAACAATGTATTAGATGAATAGCAGATTGTTTTACAACAATTATTTAACATAAAATGTGTTGTGAATTTAGTTTTATCTAAAGATTAATAAGGTAGGTTGCGCATTGGTAATACTCATTTAAGAGCTTGATTTATACTCCAGATTTCTCATATTAAATGGTTCTAAAATTTAAATAGATATAATAGCATTGACTTTATATCTACACGTGTAGATTATCTATACGTGTAGATATAAAGTCAATAATAATAAGTTAGGTAATAAAAAAATAATTAATGGATTAAATATTTCAAGAAACCGATATACTAGCCCTTTCGAAACTAGTAGCATTCTATGCAAACAAAGGTCAAAGTATAGTAAAAAAATTGTTTGTATACAAATATTTTTAAAACATGTCATAATTTTAATCATTGTTAAAAATTGATCTGTATGAATAGTTATAATCCAGTACAGTAGGTTAAAAGTACAGTATGGATTTATTCGAGCACTTTTGGTGAGTTTATTTAATTCTGACTAAACTCTATTTCCTGAATCCAATAAAATTACTGAATTTTTAAGTACAATTATTATATATAATAATAATATTATATATATAATTATCATTATTTTTTATAATGAAGAAAGCATATTAACTCAGTACCCTGAAATTATTTTTATTTTTAAAACTCTACATGTTTCGACCTTTAGGCCATTTTCAAGAGTAACATTTAACCTCACTTCAAACACAAACAAATTAATTAACAAATAAACATCATGTGATGATCTTTACATATGATTTTTCTTTTTTCTTAAAATGTATAGTAAAATAATCTTTGGTCATGGAATTTTGTCATATATATATATATATAAAATTTTATTATGGTTGTTTAATTTATTCTCCTCTTGATGTTTGTGTTAAATATTCTTTAATTTTAAATTTTTTTCATATATAGGATTTCGTTTCTTAACTTGCATCGTATTGATTATATTTGTTGGATCATTCTTGTGCTGCAGTATATATGATATTCTTCTTTTGTATGTAATTTATTTCCTTTTGATCCATAGTCCAAAACTGTCATATCTGTTTATATTTTAGTTATTTTTTATATTTATTTTTTATATATTTCTCATGGTTTAGGTCAGAGGATTATCCGTTTTTAACGAGAATGTAATAGATTTAATGTTTGTATATTTTACAATTCGTCTGCATAATGATAATTAAAAATACTTACTACAATAAGACTGTATTATTTGTATACTACAACGGAGAGTCTATTAGATAATGATAGAAACACTTATCGAAGGATAATAATGTCACAAGAGTCTAAACTTATCTCTGAACTTTTAAAAGAGTGCCTTTAATCTGTTAAATTACATTTGTTTGATGATAAAATCTGCATTCAGCATGATTCGTACAAGATACTTTGAGCGAGTTTTCCACAAAGAAAGACACTATTACCGTTCGCTACTAAGCAACAAAATGTCTGAAAAAATAAATTGCACGAAAATGATCCGTTATCAATGGTATCAGTGTATTAAATTGTAGTTGCGTTACCTATTATGCTACGGATGCTTTATTGTAAATGTAATTAAATATACAGTATTGTTGTGTTTGCCAATAATTGTACCCCTGGATTTCCCCTAAATAGTGGTTTACCTTTATTTATTCTTATTGTATAGAATTAATTGTGTTGCTATTTATTCTTGTTGCTTTGAGATCATTGTGTTGCTAATTTATTCTACTTTTTAATTATACAATTCGTTATTTTGTAGTTATAGTTGTTATGTCTTACTTATTCATCATTACGAGTATAATATTTTGTATTTTATATCAGAAAATGGCGATCCTTTTGGGGAAAAATAAACATAAGGGAATCCAGAACTAACAAGTTGTTAATAACAGACAGTAAATTAAAAATAAAAACCACAATAATGTTATTTTTTTATCAAGTTGGTTTCTAAACATTTACATACGTCTCAAATTATTTTTAGATGTCATTGGCACGGAATAGTTTTTATATTTTAAAGTTATAAATTATTTTAAGGTATAAAACATACCTTGAAGCTTGTTGTGTTTTGTTATGTTTTGTTTTGTTTATTTATGTTAAACTCTGTAAATAATTTCTCAAATGGCAATGCAGGTTCAAATGGCATAATAAATCAGTTGGAAAGAACCATTATTTTAAAAATTTTTCACAATTGTTAAAACTCAAAACGAAGGACCACTTTCTTATATTTTTATTCGTTGACCTAGATACTAGAGCAATGTTAAGTAGGCCTATAAATCCCATATAAATAGACATAATTTAGTCGTAAATAATAGCAAAGTTGATTCCTCACACCACAGAAAACTTACTTCTGTAGTATGTTTTCTGTGCTCACACGGACTAAAAATTCTGTACCCCTACTTTTTGTTACGAATATACTCGAACACTTTTGCACCTAGCAATGATGACCTAGCATAAGCAAATCTCCAGTAAAAATCTCAAAAGTTTTGACATTGTACTGTAGTAAGTAGTCTGCGAATATGTATTTGTAAAACCACCGGGGCCTGGCAGAACACTTTATTGATGATTAAAGTATCTATGGCAAAGAAATGTCAACAGATTGCAAAGAGATTACAAATACAGGGATACGGTTCCCCCCAAAGACAGCTTAAATAATTTATTTACAAACAAAGCTGCAAAAATATATATCGCAACAGCTAAATTAACTCTTAGTTGGTGGTAATGATTTACCATCGACGAGCTCATAAATAAACAGTGGAATAAGCTCACTCCGTAAATTCTCTCTGGGACGAAGAAACTTTTATTTATACTACTTCAATCGCAACAAATTTGAAATTATTAATAATGCAATTATACTACAAGAACCGTGTATATCTCTGACAGATCTTTGAGCATGTTTCACTGTACAGTAGTTTTTTTTTTACCAACAACGTCCACCGTATGGAATCTAATGATAACATTTCAACAAGGTCTAGAAGCTCTGCCCTACCTTCATTCCTATCGGCGTGATGTTGTAGTGTCCGAAACAAGAGACTTGTATCATAGATCAGCTGGAGCTCCTCCTAGATCCTAGAACATCCGAGGGCCGTCGTACACCCGGGGAATGACACTCCACACACTCAGTAGCGCGTCGCACAGGACACGGGCGTGCTCGCGTCCACGCAAGTCAGCAAAGACTGGTCCAGCACAGAAGATGCCGGCCTTTCGGGCGCGACAACACCCGAACGAATCCGACTTCACACGATTCCGCTGAATCCGTCACTCCTATTGGTTGAAAACACCGACCAATCGCAGCGCAGCCCCGCCCATTCGCAGCCACGCCTCCGGACGAGACGGACGTCTTTTTGCCCCGCTCATGTCTACAGGGTGTCGAAAGCATCTCGAATGCTGACACTCAAAACTTTATAACCGAGAGGCAATTTCGCTTTATAATAAGGCGGTTTGCCTCTCGTCAAGAAATTAGGGATCGTTCCCGGCAATTCTGAGGATAATGGTTCGGTTATGGCGAAGCGATGAGGGGATTACAAGGTCGTCACTTTTATAGCTACCACTTAAACATATTACAGACAAATTGTTTACAAAAAGGAAGGGTAATTCGCAAGGAGGTCCGAAATTGTAATTATTCGGGCAATTTTTAGTCTAAGTTTTATAACTTATAACTTTTAAAACTTAACGAATTTTAACACGGAATGGCCAAGTTATCTTGGCCATTCCGTGTTAAAATTCGTTCGTTTTCACATCTAGCTCTTGTCCTGTTATATTATTAAAACTAGGTTTTACAAACATTATTTGTCCGACACACAATTCAAATTTCGATAAAGTAAGTTAATTTGTCGGATTGTGCCCGCTATTGTCAAAGCATTGCAGCACTACAAGGTGGACCACAACATTCTCATATATAAACTTATGGTGTATAAATTCTTAAACCCATTGTCAGTTAAATTCAACACTACATTACCAAAAGTTACTTACCTATCAAGATAGGCACCCTATGTCCAGGCATTTTGCATAAGACGTTTGGTGTTCCACAGGGTTCACGTCAGGGACCGTACCTTTTCAATATATTCATCAAAGATCTTCTTTTCCATGAGAATGTTGGTCCCCTCATGTTCGCCGATGACCAGTGGGGTATATCTTCTGAAAATGAATTATCACAACTACAGATGAACCTGTGGTTATTGAAAGGTGTATCGACAATAAAGTGGAGATAAATCTCAGTAAATGCCCAGGTATAACATATTATCGTTCTTTTTATCCTTCAGGTGTTTTTTTAAGAAGTAGATAGTGTTGCGAACCCCTCAACCATCAGAGAAGTGATAGAGGCGATCTTTTCTCACGGTTTGGCAATCATGTTGAAAGGCTATTAATACTAGGAAGGGAAATAATCTGCTAAATAGGATTTGTCTCAGGTTATGAAGCCTCCGTAATCAGAATAAAAACAGACAAGTACACTACAGAGTAAAGTTCACTGTTCACTAATACTAAACATAACCATATAATAATAAGATATAGACTGGTTAAAAATAAAGAAGAAAAGTAAATCAACTTTTAGAAGAAAAAACTATTTACATTTGAAAACAAATTATGAAACAGGATAAATTCTGTAAATAGTAAATTTTGTGGATTTTTCTGTGCTTCTCACGCTTTTAGGTCGAAGATCAGATGACTCCTTGATTAACAATAACATCCTCTTTTATCTTTCTTGGTCATTACAACCATTGCCTTAGCTAGTAGTTGTCACACTACTGCTTTTTGTTTTTCAAATGCCATCCATATTGTTTGTTGGATTTTTTTCTCGATGTAATGTGTTCACAGCCTAATAGCCATCGCATGTCCGAAAACATTTATTTTGAATTTTCGTATTCATTTATTCTGCATTTATAACTAGAGAACCCGAGCGGCTCAATGAGCCGCATAGTATGAAACGTAACGCCGAGGAAAATTTTATGCTTAAATTCGAGTAATTCTAGTTACATTTTAAAATTGTTTAAACACTTGTTAGAAACTAATTTTAAATATCTCTATTTGCGACATGAAGGTTCTCCTACATTATTTCTGCTCTCAATCTGTTTCAATTAAAGTTAACATGTTGCAACAACGTTTTTTTTAGCATTGAGAATTGAAAAAAAATGTTACCTTATTGATAACCTGTGTTAAGTAATTTAAGTTGGGTCATTTTATAATTTATTTCTTTTATTTGAGACATACCCATGATCAAACAAATTTCCTCCGTAGAGAATCCTGAAAAGTGGGGTGATATCAACCATTTCATGTGCTCCATTTTTTATCCACAAACTCTGGGTTGAGCAACATTTTCATGTTATCTTATCTATAAGTATAAAAGAGGATGTTTGTATATATATTTGTTTGTTTGGCAGTGATAAACTCAGACACCACTGAACCGATTGCCACGAAACTTGGTACATACGTGTAGAATGTCATGGAATAGGTTTATACACCATCAATTTCGTGATCCGTCCAATCGGCTCCGCCCCAGTGGCTCTGGAGTTTCCCATGTTAACCTTATGAGAAATGGAATTAATGAATCTTAACAGCTGTTTCAATTAAACAAGTTGGTTCTGTTCTATGATGTTCAATAGCATTAAAGTTACAAAAATTACCAACAGGGTGCAGCACTATTATTTCTTTTACATTTATGACAACAGCTAATTTGCAACCAAAAGGTGAGTGAGCGTAGCGAACGAACTTCAACCTGGAGGCGAGTTAGCGTAGTGAACGAGCTAACCTGAAGGCAAGTGAGCGCAGCGAACGAGCTCCAACCTAAAGGTGAGTGAGCGTAGCGAAGGAGCTCCAACCTAAAGGTGAGTGAGCGTAGCGAACGAACTTCAACCAGGACGTGATTGAGCCATGCGAACGAGATCATCTTGAAAATTAAGAAGTAAAACGGGGCAAAGCCCGCGGTTTACAGCTAGTAATTTATAATTTCTTTCCTATGTATTTAAGTTTACGAGTGGTCGTCCTGTGGTCGAAACTCGACCAAAAATAATTAATGTACAGACTTCTCTATTTTGTCCCCACACTGTAAATAAAACATGTGATTGGAATTTCTTCCCTTTGTTTTGATTTTCTGTTTACATTTTGTTGTTATTTCGTTACCATCATGGCAACCCATATGGTCCATGTTAATTTTTTGAAGTTTTCAAATTCATTTTTTGTGCTTATTTGTTAGCCTATTTCAATTTTTAAAGGCATTCTGCACATCTACAGGAAAATATCTTTCCAACAGTATGCGTACATTTTCCCTGCGATGCACACGAGCTGAGAAAAAAGGTTTTAAAGAAACATGCTTGCCTATTAATATATTTTAAGTTTATACTTATGTTATTAGCATTTAATTGTAAAATTACAGCCGTTGAGAAATAATAAACCATCGGTCTATTTATTTTTGTAGGTACAGGTTAAACAATTGAACATCTGAAACATCAGCAGATCAGCCGACGACATCCCGGAGGTGTTACTTCCTCGAGGGCCCCTGGGTGTGAAGGGTGGGGGACGAGGGTAGTCACTGGACTGTGAGGACACGCGCCCAGGACACCCAGGGTGTGGGAAGAGTTCCTCCCCTAGGTTCCGACAAGTATATCCTATAAGCCGATCAGAGGCGGCAAGTGTAGGCCTACACCTCTGCACCTGACGCGTGGCGGGGTTTTGATGTTTGATTAAGGGGTTCACCTGAGAACGTGGATTTTATTTGGTGTGTTTTTACCCCAGTGGATTTTTACGTTTTGAAAGGGAACGGTCCAAACCCTGGTCTTGTTACTAATGTCGACCTTTTTGTTAGATAGCATAATTAATTCATAGCCCAATGACAAATGGCTTCTGGGATTGGAAACTATCTCGCATGGATTCGAACCAGCGACCTTCAGATTTGAAGGCGAGCGCTATAACCACTAGGCTACCCAGACAATTAGTTCATTGACATTATAAAAAAATCATGTTTTAAAAAATTTCCCATATAGGGAATAAGCTATTACCGTAGTACTTTTGGTCAAACCTGGACCTGGGACCGATTTACTTTTTAGTTTTAAGATCCCTAGAGACCAAAAACTGCATTCGTTAAAATTCATATATCTCGTATTTACATGATTATTATTCACTTGTAACAAATTATACAAGTAATTTATGAATAGTATCTATATATTTAATACGCAGTTGTAACACTGTTTTCTCAGTAATTACTGGACCGATCTACAAGATTTATGTCTCAAATTAAAGGGGATAGTGTGTAGATTTGCCGAACTTCCTTAGAATTTACGTTTTTTCTAAGGGCTACGACCTACAGCCCTCTAAAGGTCGAGTCAATACAATTCTTATTGAAGAATATAATAAACAGTTTATAAATTACTAGCTGTGTACCCGTTCTACGCACGGGGATCTTATAATATTCAGTTGAAACCTTCTTATATAACGAACAGCAGTTGGTTTGCATATTTTAAGATATGCTGGCCAAACTATTATACATAGCTTCATTTTATGTTGTTTTTTGTTGTTCCGGATCGGTATGACAATCAATAAAAGGTTAAATTACCTCTGTGTCTGCCGGTCGATCCTATAACGGTAGGCTTACTTTTATTTTTACTATCTGATCTCGTTTGCATGGCTCAATCACGTCCTGGTTGAAGTTCGTTCGCTACGCTCACTCACCTGTATGTTGGAGCTCGTTCGCTGCGCTCACTTTCCTTCAGGTTAGCTCGTTCGCTACGCTCACTCGCCTCCAGGTTGCAAATTAGCTGTTGTCATAAATGTAAAAGAAATAATAGTGCTAGTGCTGCACCCTGTTGGTAATCCTTGTAACTTTAATGCTATTGAACATCACAGAACAGAACCAACTTGTTTAATTGAAACAGCTGTTAAGATTCAATAATTTCATTTCTCATAAGGTTAACATGGGCTTCCAGAAATTCCACGTCAAAAATCGACAAAAACTTGATTTTCAAGGGTTTACTGTTAAATATCTAACTGTCTCATATTCGATGAAATACGTCTAAAACCATCTCATATATGTATAGTATTTGGAAAATAAGTTTCAGGCGGGACAGTGCTATAGTTATTGAGGAGTAGTTGTAATAAAGTGCGTATTTTAGCGTTACCAAGAGAATGACAGATAGACAGACAGACAGACAGACAGACAGACAGACAGAAATTGAGATAAGGTTTGATTCGGTTTCTCTGACCTATGAAATGTAAAAATAACCAAAAAGTTCATTATTCTAAGCAATGTACAGACAAAACTCTAATTTTATTTATATAGATTCGTCAGCTGATTAATGTTTGTCAGAC